GTGTCAGGACATATGTCTGTCCATGGCTCTGGAGCCAGCCTGCATGCTCCTCTCCTTCGGGCCCCCGGGACACATTTCAGTGGCCATATAAAAAAATAGGCAGTGGAAGTGGAATAGCTCAAGCCTGGGTTAAACCCCTGATCTTTTCCCTTGGGAGCCAGCGTGTATAGCCGTGCCGTGTTGCTCTTCCCGAGCCTGCCTGTCCCAGGATGAAGATCCTTCTCTTACATAATCTTCTGCCCTTGCCCTGCTCTCTGCACAACTGATTTAACCTGGGCTGAGCAGTCGTTGTGCTTGTTTACTCTTTTCGCAGCCTTAAACAAGACTTCAGACATCCCCGGGGCAGACTTTATTCCCACGGTCAGAACAAGTGACAAGACAGTGATTTGGGATTAAAGGACCTTGCAAATGCACAGACAAATAAAAGAAGAATCTTTAGCACTGTGGAGAGAGGTGCATGATGCTGTCAGGTTTGCTGCTTTGTAAGGAAGGAAGTGGGATGAAAATGGAAGGGTGCTACCAGAGTAATGCACTTTAGTAGAGCACTAATGCCTTCCCAGATAAGCCCACATGCTAGTGCCTGGTGCCTCGTAAGCCCTTCCAAGCACATCAAAACAGAGAGCGCTAAAGAGATTATGGTATTTTCTCGGTGGCCTCATCTGGTGTGGTGCATGTGCCCAGGATAGCATGATAGAGGCTGCCCCTGCACAGCCACCAGCAGCTGAGGTGAATGCACCAGCACAGAGCACTTGGACATGACCTGACTACTGGGTAGTGGTAAAGAAAGAATACCAACGCTTTGCTCTGCCTATACAGGCAACCAAATATTCCTAACTGTGGGTCAGGATGTTTGGATAGGCGGCACTGTTTTCCTCCAAGGTCACAGAGACATACAAAACTGACCTCCCACTAGTAAGCTGGTTTATTCATTTAACCACTGCCACCAAATTTAGCAGCATACCAGTATTTGCATTTAACTGCACACTCTCAGCACCATTTTCAAGTAGTTTAGTCTGATTTTCTTACTTGCTTCTAATAGACAGTTCACGCAACTTGCAAACTTTGAAGTTCATACACCATTCAATACAAGCATGTACAAACTTGGTCTTTTGTTTTCAGCATTTTTATTATTCTACCTACCTCTGCTCTGTTTCTATCACCAGCAGAATATAAACCACTGTGAAGTGATATATAGGTCAGTGTCACCAAAACGGCCACTATACTAGTGGTAGCACCTGTTGGGAAAAGATAAAGAAAAATAAATACATAAATAAATAAAAAGAAGGAAGCAGAGGGAAACTGGAAGTCTCTTCTTCCCCTTACACGTACTCAGACCTCCCTCCTTCAGTAGCTGTAAATGGCAAATGTGCTGGCCTGTGGGTCTGGCCAGGACACTATGTAAGTCTGGCTAACTGTGTGCCTTGTGCTGCCCTCCTGCAAGCTTGATTTTATCCTCCAAGTGTGGAGGAGTCTGGAGCCATTAGTAATTTGTTGTCAAATAAAACTGCTTTGAATGGAGAACTCCTGTATAAGGTAAATGCAAATGCAAACTTAGCTTATACTAAGAGGAGTCAAAGGAAAACAAAAGTTCTCTAATCAATGCATTTCCGTAGTTACCTGATAAGTATTTTTAAGCGTCATTCTTAAGTAGTCGCTAATTACATTACTTTATTACAAGGCACAATTAAATATGTGCTTGAGGTCATCCAGCTATTTGCTGTTTCAAGGAAAGCACTTGAGTCAAAAGGATTTCCTAAATGGAGTCATTCAGCGTTTTATTTCTTCGACTTCAGGAATTATTCTAGATGTGATACATAATTGGACATTGAATAATCAGTTAAATGTCATTTCCATAAATTGTTTGTGCTTTACATAAAAGAAGTAAAATGCTTTATAAAGCACTTTTGTTCTCCCTTTGAAGCACCCTGCAGAAACTAGCCGCACACCACGAGCATTCTCCTTCGCGGCCAGCTTGGCCTGGGATGGCAAATTTTACAGTTTCGTAGACTGGTTCTATTTTCAAATATATCATTCACACAAACCAGCATAAACTGAGACCCTTAATTCTCACTTCTACTAAAATTAATAGGACTAGTGAGATGGGTTCGCAGAAAAGCCTCGAAGTGAGAATCAGACTTGAGGCATCTAAAAGATGTGCTAGTAACTGTGGGCCCCATTTAGGGCCAAAGGAGGGATATGAGCACTTCTGGAGTGCAAATTTTCTTCTCTGAAAGCGCCCTGAAAGTGATTATTATGGGAAATAACTAGCTTAATGTGAAAATTTAATTTGGCATCTATGGTTGAATGACTGCCATCACAGGTATCTGCAGACTTGCTGTCTAACTGATAGTCAAGGCTCTCAAAATCCATGCCCAATTGCCACCAGTGAGAAAAGCAGCCTCTATTTCCATTGCAGACATTTTTGAATCACCTGAATTTCCTGTGCTGAGGTGAGCTGGCCCCTCAGCATGCAGGGGCATGTTCCCTGCTCCTCGGCCTCCTGCAGCGGGTGACCTCGGATCACACTTCGCAGGCCCTATGTTAACCAGCGTGAGGATAAAAGGTGTCTCTGTCACTTTGATTTGGGACATCAGTGGGTGGGAAACCATGACTGGAGTTCTGGTGAATATTTATTCACTAAAATAATATTCATTGCTCTAGTGAATATTTATTTATGCTAAGTGGGAAAGGCCTGACCCAAGAAAGAGCAAAGCTCCTACTGAATCTTGCTCCAAATCAAATAGAAAAGAGCTGTAAAGTTCCATCTTTAGAGGAAGAAAGCACCCTATTTAAAATAATAATAATAATAATCACGTCCTTCACATCTAATGCAAGAAGACATCTCAACTGCAATTAGTGGCTTGACCATATCTCAGCACCCCACATTGTGGAGTTTCCCACAGCGGCCCAGCCTGCCTGCTTCCAAAATGCCATCAATATCTGCCTTTTTGGTACCTCTCTCTCATTATGCTACCTGGACAGCCGGTCTGTCCCATTCAGTGCTAAGGTTGCTGTTACGGGGGAAGACAGGAAGAAATCGAGAGGAGCAATCCTAAACTTGAATCCTCACCCCCCACCCAATGGCTCTTACCCACTAAGATTGCACTAAGACTGGAACAATCTTGGACACTCAAGGAGAGCAGAAGATCAAGCAGGGGGTTCATGGGCCTAAAGCCAGCAGTGTAGGTCTTCAGTGATGAATACGCTTTGCACTGGGTGGAAGGGATTTTATTCACAGCCAGGGAGCCAAAAATAGAGACCCAAAGCCCAGAAATGAACACTGCAAGGTTCAAAGGCCAACTGTGCCTGTGGCTGGGCAGATGAGAGGTGATTGTGGCTAAGAGCAATAGGCTCTTCCTGCTGTCTATAATTATAAAAGAAATCTGAGCCTTGAGGCTAAATGACCTGCTGGTGAGGCTTGCCTGTAGATCTGGCTGTGACAAAGCATTAGATGGTGGTGCAACTAAGTCCGCTCCTGCATGTCCTCAGCCACTGATGGGACCAGCATGGCTCAGATTGGGAAAGGAAAATGAGCACATATGCATATGTGAACACAAAGATAATAACTTGCCACACAGGCTTTCATTCTCCTATGGTGATCTTCAGTTCGTGTGTTGTGAAGGAAGTCCTGGTATAAGTTCAAATGCTACCTGTATTGCACTTGTTTAACTCTGGCACAGTTCAAGATCTTCTGTCTGGCTCCAAACGCTGCAAACGGCACCCCCTGACTCCTGCCATGCAATGAGCTGTCACCAGCCATCATCATAACAAACCTCTGCACCCAGCTCCATTTGGGAAATAGAGCTCTCTTGAGGATGCTTCATCTAACTTTTTATTGCCTTCATATATATTTAATCTCAATGCTCACAACATTTCAATCATGTCTGACAATGCTAATCCTTATTTGCCTTTGATGTGTGTTTTGAAATCTGTAGACAAAACTTCTTCAAGTATTATTATGATTTATAATTACATTATTATTAGGTAGGTATTGCCATGGGTTTGATAAACTGCTTGCACAATATGAAATTTTCATTTAAAATGTTGAATGACTAAGATTTTATTTTAAACTACTGCCATAAAGCGTCACTTAAAATGCCCTGAAAATGATAACCAGAACATATTTTCTTCCTAAAATATTTTAGTCATCAGAAAGGCGAGTATACCTTATATGAATATGGAAGTATTTGATGCAAACAATTTGGGGCTTTTTCTGTTTTTTTCACATCGAAACTCTGTAATGCATTGGTGTTTCTCTGTGCATCTTCATTTTAAAAACATAAGCAAAGTACAGCGTAACCTTGAAGAATCATGTTAGCTAACAATTACATGACATGATTTGTATTTATCACTGTGTCAAGCTTGCTGGGACTTGTCAGAACGTTATACTGAATTTGTGCCTGTCTCTTTTAGGTCATATTCGCTATGGTTTAATATGAGTCCATTTTCTTGTTTTTTCTTATCTGACCCATTTTGGGGTAGGGGAGAGGGAGGGAAGAGGAAGAAGGCAACCCCATAAGCGAGAATTGATCTTTTGAGGTTTCTTCTGAGGCTGCTGTTGGGATGAAAATTAACAGAAAACACAGCTGATTATTAACATAAATGAGTAATCAGAAATGTTCAAAACGGTTACAAGACAAGCATTGTATTATATAGCACTTATAAGATGACTGCAATTAAAAACACTTGAGAATTTCCATTTCAATTGTTCAGGCTATACAGCACTTCCATTTCCAGAAATTCCATTTTCTGGCTTGAAATCCATGGTTAAGTGTGGCTTAGGCCTGAATTATCTAATTTTGTGAAATTTGAGCAGGAGTTGGTCTGATGTACTTGGGAAGAAGGGTGGAAAATAAACTCAACTTTAAATTAAAAGGTGGGGGGGGAGTATGACAAATTATGATCTGATTATTCAGTTTACTAGGATGGTGCCACCTGTCATACTGCCACAGAACAAAGCAAAGCACCATAGCCCTGAAGTCTGCCATACTGCAGGAGCCATGACCTGGGTGAGTCTTAAATATAGCAGAAAACACAACAGAAAATAAATAAATAAATAAGAAACATCTGCTTTGATCTGTCCCAGCTATAAACATTTAAACAGCAGCCCCTGATCGCCCAGCTATGAAAAACAAGGGAAGCACCTGGTAAGAACAACATGGGGACCCTGCAAAGGCAGGGCTGGGATGGCAAGGGCTGCTGCGGTATGGGATGCGCTTCACAGGGTTTGCACGTGTTTCCAGAGCATCTCCCATCAGCTAGGCCAAATTCCCCCCTACGGACAGGGAAAGGTTTATGCAACCTGCCCCACTTTTAAGCCTCCAAAACAGGGAGCAATGCGGGATCCTGCAAAAATCTTTGCCGGGAACACGTTGTTGCTGCCATCTGGGGCTTTTGCTTCTTGAAACGGCTGTGACTGCGATCCCCACTTTAATGAAGACCACGTTCGCCTTCCGCGCAGGAAACGCGGCGCCGGCCCCGCTCCGTCGGGGCTCCGCAAGGGGCTTCCTACGCGCTCCCGCCGCCGGGCTCGTCGCGGGGCGCCGGATCCTCCGCGGCGTTTCCGCCGCCCGATAAAGCCGGCTGGCGTAGGAAGGGAGAGATTAGCTCGGGGTTTACCCTTCAGCCGCGCTAAAGATCAGCTGAGGACAAAAGGGCTGCCCGCCTCCCTTTAAAAAAATAAATAATGAAATAAAAATCCCGCAATGCCCTCATGAAAAAATAAAATGAAAACAGAAAGAAAAAAAAATAAAAAGGCAGGCTCAGAGCAGCACAAGGGACCGGGCGGGGAGTAACAGGGTTTCCCCAGGGTCTTGGGATTTAGGAGGCCAATATGGAAGAAAAAAAGGTGCCT